AGGAACATGCTTTTCACAAGGATAAAGAAAGGAACAAAAGGGAAAAACAACAAAAATATCCCCAAACACCAACCAAAACCAAACCAACAACCACCCCCCCAAAAAAAACCAGACCACCACCAACAAAAAAATCCCCAAACCAAAACCCAAGAAAGAACTGCTTTCAGTCTCCAACTTTCCCCCTTGCACAATAGTCTGGTCCTTATACCACCCCGAGGACCTTCATGTCAGTCTTCACCTATATAGTGTGTACTAGGTACATGATTTATTGCATGTTTATATAATAAATGTTGAGAGAAAGACAGAGAGATGGAGAGACACACAGAGAGAGAGATAGACACACACACAGAGGCAGAGAGCCAGACACATACACACACACACACACACACACACACACACACACAGAGAGAGAGAGAGAGAGAGAGAGAGAGAGAGAGAGAGAGAGGGCCAGCCAATGGTCATGAGAATCTCTAAGTTTCTACTGAAACGACTGTCAGGTAGAGGTTGAAAATGGCGAAGCACCATACTTACCGACATGAAGGGTTAACTAAGATCATTTGAGAAAATAAAGATAATCAGAGTGTGAAGAGACCATGTCTACATGGTATGAATTCCACAAACACACGCATTTTCTATCAGATCGCCAAAATGTCAACAGTTGTTTCTGGGGAGTAGTATTTATTTATAGTTTTCAGTGTTGGCTGAAGACTTCAGAGTCAGCATCATTTTAATAATAGGGGTGGAAGGTTATATTAGAAAACATAAAGATTGCTTTTTTATGTAGTAAGACTATGAGAACCTATTGAATTTTCTCTTTTTTTCTTTTTCTTAAGAAACATAGAAGATATGCCTATTCCTTTGAAAATCCTGAGTTATTTTACATTCCAAAAATACTGTTGTGAGATTCTTGTAGTCAATGAGTTCTATGGGCTGAATTTCACTTGTGGTAAGTATTCTGTTTTACAATATTATTTTTACATGTTGCTCCAATTTCCTAGGGAAATGTATTTTTGGAAGAATTGTGCATGTGTACATGGAGTGCGTATGCATTCATATGGGTACGTAAGTGTGTGTGTGTGTGTGTGTGTGTGTGTGTGTGTGTGTAGGCCAGAAGACAACCTTGGATTTTCTTGGGTTTTGTTCCTTCATAGCTGCCCTCTTTGTTGTTTGAAACAGTCTCTCTCTCACTGGGACCTGGGCTCTCTGATTCGGCTTGGCTGACCTGAAAGCCTCAGGGATGCATGCCTCTCCAGTGCTGGGATTGCTAGTGTATGTCACCATGCCCAGTGTTTCATGTGGGTGACTCAAACTCAGGCCTTCCTGCTCCTGTGGTAGTCACTTGACTGAGTATGCTATCTTCCCAAACTCTTAGAAATGTTGCATTTTCATAATAAAAATTTCAAACCTTGATTTGAAATGAAGCCCCCATTTCCCTTTGATTTAAAATGATTTTTAAAGAGATTTATTTATTTATTTTGTCTGTGAGTGTTTTGCTTACCTGTACGTACGTATGCATGCAGTGTGAGTACTTGGTTGCTGGTAGAGGCCAGAAGGGACTGGAGTTATAGACAGCTGTAAGCTGCTATGTGGGTGCTGGGTACCTAACCCAGGAGCTATGCAAGAGCAGCTAGTGCTCTTCTTACTCTGAGCTGTCCCCTCTAGCCCCTTCCCATTTTTCTCTGATTTTTAAAGGAAAATATCCATCAGTCAAGTTAGTCTCCCGTCAAAGGTCAATACCATAAGGGCACTTGATATTCTTAGAAAGTGACAGGTCTATGCAATTGCTAGTATATTCTAGATAGGCTCAGCTCCTATATCACTGACCATACCACAGCAAGCTAATGTGGTCTCTTGTTCCTCAAAATGTGTATAGAATACAGATGGGTAAACCCGTTATTTTCTTTTTTTATGACAAAGGTCAACTTCCAATCCCAAGACAGGACAGTGGGAACACAAGTGCCCATGGCCCCTGGAAATCCCAGGGCATGGCGGAGTTTAGTGGTTAAATATTTTCAGATAACAATGCCAGTAACTTTTAGAGTATTTGATGGCAGGAGACAACCAGGAATGTATCTATTCTCAAAATACAATCAAATATTTTCCATCTTCAAAACAAACCAGGATCCCTAGACCTACTCTTGCTTCATCTCACTGTTAATTCTGGGTTCTCTAAGACATTGTGTGTGTCTCATTGAGAAGGCTACTTACAGTGCTGAACACTTTCTAAACATCAGGGAAACGTTTGTGATTGAATAACCTGAAATGCATCGGAACTGATGCTGTCAATCTTCTTTCTCCTTGGCAGTTGGATCCAATACCTCCATGCCAAATCACCCAATGTGTACCATCACCCAAGGAATCCACTTCATCGAGAAGACCTGCCCAGGCGCCACATCTAGATTCACAGCCAACTTTCTGATCTTATTTGCATTCATCCCTGTGCTTGTCATCCTAGGGATAGTGGTTTTTAAAGTCCGGGACTACCTTATTAGCAGATAGTTAAGATTGCAGCCAGGAAAGGGTTTAATGGGCAGCTGTGCCTGCCATGGACAGCAGAGGAATGCCAGTTTCTAGCCATCACGATTCCGTTTGTGAACCTTGCATCTATCCAGGCTCCCAAGTGCAATGGAAACTGAACACAGACCTTTGCTATGCCAGCTTGTAGGGAGATGTGTTACTTGGAAAGTATGACTGAAATGGTCCAAGGATGTAAATAATAATAATAATTCATAAACCTATGGGAGATTAGACTAAGTGTTTTTTCTAGACACAGAAAAATAAGCCTGTTTTAAAAATTATGTTTACACTTGATAAAGAATTTGATAAAACCAAAGTGTGTGTGATTACTGACAGAGCAATCACGGAAAAAAGTTCTGGTTTGACTGAGAAAGCCTCCTACAGAAGGGGATAAGGAGCTTCCGCTGCCATTTAAAAGCCACACATACTTGTGTGCTTGTCCACATGATGGGGCTGGTCACCTGATCACATCAGGTAGCTGCTGGACAGATGTTGGTGGACACCCCGATACACAGCAAAGAAACCTCAGGACGATGCTGAACATTAAACGACACATATCAGACAGACTTCTGAGTGATATGCTTGCTGTTTTTTTTTCTCTTAGCATAGTTTGCCTTTTAAAATCAAATGTTACCAGACAGAATGTGACTGAGAAATGAGCTATGTAAATCTGCAGAACAGTAGTCACATGACACAACACTTCCCTAAGAAGAGCGGAGTCGCACACCGGAATCCGTGTTCTTGAATTGTAGAGAAGGGCATTGGTGAGTGCAAACACACACCCACAGGACATGCTTCCAGGGATGAAGTGACGGCCGTGGGCTATTAAACATGGATTCTCTGCTAAGCGACTGATTATCTTTCTCATCGATCTGCAAGTAATTCGCGAACGAGTCTGAAATCTAATTCTCCCCGTGTCACCATGGTAACTCTGAGTGAGGCTCTCAGAGAGAGCACATGAACTTGTGCCATTACTGTGACCTAGTTTGTAGAGAATGATAAATTACAGCACTTGAAATGTCTCCCATTATAGCAGGAAGGAAGCCACAGTCGAAGTCTATCGCTGAGAACTGCATTTAAGGATCTGAGGCACTGGTATATTACCAGGATAGTATTGTCATTTTTTATAAAAGGTCTGTGACACTGATGATTATGGTATAATAGTTACACAATGCCTTACAGATTATATATGTCACACCAGTTATAGACAGTCCTAGAGACGATAATCTACTCAAGTAGTTCACAGAGAGTCTCAAAGGGAGGAGCCTCCTTTGAAATCACTGATTTCAACCTACTGAAGACACAAGGTAAGTGGAAGCAACTTCTATTATTCATATGCAGATGAATTTCATTCTAGTTCAGAAACATTTGGAAAACTGACGTCGTGCGTGACTTCAAGCTATTAAATGCTAGTGATAGCACCCTAGAAGCATGGTGGCTTTTGACACCTGACGGCTTGTGTCTCAGTCACAAAATGGACAGTGATAGAAGAAAATGAACATATAGAATGACCATTTCTATTGCTGCTGTGGCCCGAGCCATTTGTGCCATCAGGGTGCTGGCCACAGGAGGGCTTTCTCCACAGAATGGAGATGCACCAGGAACTTGCTGAACACTTTTCTCAAATGTCAGACCACATGCAAGACAAACAGCTGGCAGACCCTATGTCATTGAAATGACCTTATGGCGGCTACCACCCACATGCCTTCACCTGTCTTCATGTTCTCAGTAAATGTGCATATTCAAACCTGTGCCCACGGCACGAAGAGTCACGAGGGTCACAAGAATACATACATTCCCTGACTAATGATAATGGCTATCCTATCTAGAACTGACTTCTTGCATGTGATATCTGCCTGGAAGTCATTCTGCATGTTTATCAACTCACGTTTTGGCCAGCTTAGGTGATAGGCTATCTCATAAGAATAGCCTGTTCTTTAAAAGGTAGTATTAAAATAAAAGTGAAGAGGGGAGAGGTTGCTGCTTTAAAATGGCCGGTTCTAGACAGTTGGGAATTCTGGGTGTGAGAACCAGGAACGCACATTTTACACAAGCACCTGCAGGCACTTCTTGTGCCTCTGTTGAAGGTGAGATCATGACACCTGTCAACTCCTTCCTGGTTTCCTATCCACTGCAGCTACACATTTTAGAAAGAGTGTGTCCAGCATGGGCACCAGCTTTATATGGAAACTGTTACCAGGACCAACAAAATGATCAGTGGTTAAAGGTACCTGCCTGCCACCAAGCCTGCTGCCCTGAGATACCCAGAACCCAAATGGTAGAGGGAGAAGCCTTGAAAGTTTTCCTTTGACCTCCACACACAAACCATGGCGTGCGCGCACGCGAACACACACACACACACACACAAATTAACAAATAGATAAGTAAACAAATGCAGAATAACTGGTACCAAACACTGCTGATTTATATTTCTAAAAAACCAGTGCAGATACACATGCCAAACAAGATTTATACTACTTACATTACAGGTAAGTCTTAGAAAATTCTTTTATTTACAAAGAATTATATATAGTGAATATTTTCTATCTAAAAGACTCCAGAACATTCACAAAGTTGTACCAGTATAAGAAATAGATTTCTCCTATATTATACATTTCAACTTTCTTCACATGTTGCCACAGAAGGTAAGAAAATAATCTTATTTGAATTGGGAAGGAAGACATAAACCCACAATAGTGGACCAGGCTCAAGAGTCCAGCTCGATTTGTTTCCAGGTCTTGGAAGAATTTCTCTTGTACTGTTCCAGTTCCTAAAAAAAAAAAAGACCTGCATTACTTTAAGGAAAATAAAATAGAACACAATTTCAAGTAGGCAATTGCTAGTGACAACTTGCATAGCCTTCTTGATAATTACCCTGGGAGATTGTATTAAAGATTTGTTTTCTACAAGAGAGCCTCCAGAGTTCCTGGGCCGACTAAGCATTCAGAGATGAATTTAGTAAGGTTTCAGTCACTTTTAGCTAGCAAAACAAGGCACTAATTGTTCAAGGATTTAAAAGTAACTATATTTGACAGTGATGTTCAGCTCTTTCCAAAAGTTTGCTTGAAGTTAGCAAATTATTGAGATTTAGATGTCCTTCAATACAGTGATTCTGCTTTTAGAAATGCTATCATACTAGGGCTGGAGAGATGGCTAAGTGGCTAAGAGCACAGGCTGCTCTTCCGGAGGACCTGGTTTGATTCCAAACATCACATGGTGTCCTGCAACCATTTATAACTCATGTTCCAGGGGATCCAATGCCCTCTTCTGATCTGTGCATATATATGGTATACAGACATATATGTAAAATAAAATAACAATAAAAATCTCTAAAAAGGCATGTACCACCACACCACACTGAACTAGGTGTGGTGGCACATGTCTGTAAGGCCAGCACTGGGGAGGCTGAGACTGGCTGGAGGATCTGATGTTTGATGTCAGCCTGAGCTTCACAATAAGACTCAAGGAATGGAATGTGGTCCAATGGTAGAGTGTATGCCTAGCAATGAAAAGACAAAATCATAGTGTTAGATATGGTGGCAAATGCCTTTATTTCAAGTACTTGGGATGCAAAATCATTGGGGGTCAGCCTGGTCTACACAGTGAATTCCAGGGCCACACAGTGAGACCCTAACTAAAATAACAACAACATAACTCTTTATAAAGTAAAAAAGTTTGCTTTTCTTTTTTTTTCAAGACAGAGTTTCACTGTATAGCTTTGGCTGTCCTGAAACTTGCTTTGTAGACCAGGCTGACCTAGAACTCACAGAGATCTGCCTGCCTCTGACTCCCGAGTGCTGGGATTAAAGGTGTGTGCCCCCATTGCTTTTAAAACAGAAACTAACAGACTTGGCCTTTGGAGATAACTTAGTGGGTAAGAGAGCTTGTACTTTGAACTTAAGACCTGAGTTCAAATCCCTAGCACCATGTCAAAAAGAAAGAAAGAAAGAAAAAGAGAGAGAAGAAAACAGAGAAGAAGAGTTGAAGCATGCAGGGCGTGGACAGACTGACGCTCCTGTGATGTCTGCACAACTGGAAACAGCTGTTTGCAGTAGGGACTGATTAAGGAGATGAGTGTTCATTTACACTCAGCCTGGGGGCAGCCGAGAGAAACCGATGGTAGACACTTGTGCCCCATAAGAAGAGCAACAGTGGGAAGAAGACAGGAGACTTCCACTGTCTCCTTCCTAGAACTCTGCATCTTTTAACAGCAGAGGTAGAAACCACTGACACTAGCCTTCAAAAAGGGATCACCTCTGGGCAGCCTTGTGTTGGTTACTGTCTAAGCAACTGTACAAAGTGTATCATTATTCTGGATAAACAAAAGTGGTTGTTCTGCAAGATAAGCTGAGCATTGCCCAGTGGCTGGGGTTATTAACGTTCACAGTTGCTACAAACAAAATCCACTGCTGTGTTCATAAAAGGTGCACATTATCTTTCACAGTTACACTTTAAGCTATTAAACTGAACTGTTGAAGAGTTTCAAAGCCGTGTGTATACTTTAAAAATGCTTTCGTGGTACTAACTTCAAAGAAGTTGTCAGATTGGTTTATGTCTGAATGACACCAACCCCAGTTTACCAGTTATTTTCCACTTAGGCTGGAAAAGATAGTTAACTAATAAAAAGTAGGTAACCGGGTGTGGTGTCATCTACCTTTAATCTCAGACCCCAGGAGGCAGAAAGGGATCTCTATGAGTTTGAGGCCAGCCTGGTCTACATAGTGAGTTCCAGGCCAGCCAAGACTACACAGCTAGACCTTGTCTCAAAACAACAACAAAGATTCACAGAAGTAAAGAGATACGCAAGTTTTGTGTTTAACTGGAAATGGTCAATCGTTTTTCACCAAGATCAGGTGAGGACATTGCTTGGCAAGTTTTTGCTGGCTATGGTATATAATCTTCACACCACAAACAGAGAAAAGAATGGGGCTGGTCATGCCAAAAGAAGAATAGGGGTAATTAACTGATTCAAGACCCAAAAAAAGGCCACTTAAAACTTTCAATACTGCAATCAGATGAATTCAGAACAATCGACGTTTGAAAGGCACAGCAAGGTATTCTTGACACTGATTCCATGGCTGCTTACAGAGCAAGACCAAGAAGCTCCCTCCCTGGGCCACCCCACCCTCCTGAACTCTCTTAAGAACCTCTGAAGGCTCTGAAGACACACAGTCTATGGTCTTATGATACACTGCATTTACATAACATGATATAATAATGTATTACAACGGCCTCTTCAGCCAAGGGTAGTAACATAATTTTTCACTAACCACGTGAATCAGTGTGTAAGTGTGCTTCAGTAAATTATAGCCCAAGGAGCAAGTGGATCCTTTTAAACGGAGGAGTTAAACAACAGGACCATGGCTGAACAAGAAGACCTTAAAAATGAAAGCAATTACTTACCTAAACCTCCCCTCTCCTGCCCAGGACTCCTTTTTTTAAAGGCAGGGTCTTGCTGTGTAGCCCTGGCTACCCTGCAACTTCTGTGTAAACCTCAGCCTTCCCAGTGCTAGGGTTAAAGTCATGCGTTACCACGACCCCTTCCTTGTGTTGTCCTCTTTTAACAGAAATATTGAAAAGAGGTAGAGGGGTGGAGCAAGCTCTTTCCATATTCTGATTCCCTGAAATCAGGAGTGGCTTAGAGCTCCAGGACTTGAAAGGCACTGGGGAGAAATGATGAAGAGTTTCTGATGCCCACATGAAATCTGATGGGAGACACTTTGAGCAGTAAGAGAAGAGTACTAACTAGGAAAGACCCTATCTGCAGGAAAGCTCTGGTCTTCCCTGTTCTCTGATCTGTGTGGGTTGGCTTCACAGGTTACAGGACCTTCCTGGTTGGAAAGGACCCGGGTCAAGACAGATCCGAAGTGCAAGCTTGCTGGCTGTTTTAGCTATGCTGTGGTAAGACACCATGACCAAAAGAAACTTGGGGGAGAAAAGGGTTTATTCCAGTTTACATATATACCTACATATGCATATCCATACCACAGTTCATCACTGAGGGAAGTCAGGACAGGAACTCAAGAAGGGCAGGAACCTGGAGGCAGGAGCTGATGCAGAGGCCATGGAGGGTGCTGCTTACTGGCTTGCTCCTCATGGCTTGCTCAGCCTGCATTCTTACAGAACCCAAGAGGACCACCAGCCCAGAAGTGGCACCGCCCACAATCACTAATTAAGAAAATGCCCTACAGGTTTGCCGACAGTCTGATCTTATGAAGGCATTTGTTTCTATTGAGGTTCTCTCTCTCTCAGATGACTCTATCATGTGTGAAATTGACATAAAAACAGCCAACACAGTGGCATATTCTTGCAATTCCTCTGGGGAAGTGAGTTGCAGGATTGTCCGTTCAATGCCAGTCTGAGCTACAGAATGGGACTGCTTAGAAAAAAAAAAAAAATCTTAACAGCCATCACAAAAGAAGCACAGAGACTTCCCATGAAGCATTGCGGGATGTGGTGGGGTGCCCACCACTTCACTGGAGGGACTATTTATAGAGAGGTGATTCCTCAGTGGCAACTGGGCTTTTTGGTCGAGCTGAATGGAAGCCATGAGCTTGCTGCTCCATCCTAAAACTGCTTTGCTCTAATTTCACTGTAAATGCTTCACTCCTCTGAACTCCACTTTCTGTTCCAGACTGTTTTAATCTTGAGTGTTGACAATGGGTGTTGGGGGTAGCGAAGGAGCCAAGGGAAGATCAAGTCCTGCCTCTCTATGCTCAGACCTAGCCCTCCACTCATAGGCAATGATGGCACTATAATTTAATGATCTAGGATGTCATTCCCCAGAAGGGCAAGGCTGAGCAGTGCTGGGTCACCGGTGTCAGATAACAGGCAGTCCACACTGAAGAGCCTGCAGGTTGCTTCATCCGGATGACATGCCCGGTGGAATTGTGGAAAACCCTAAGTGCAGGTTTAAGTCAGAAGCAGCTGAGCCCTTTTAAATGAATAGACTATCTTGTTCATTGCCAACTCAGAGCTAAAGATCGCAATGCTATTTTCAAGGGAAAATGCTACCCAGTAATCAATAATCATTAAAAGATAAAAGAGACAATATGAAGCAGAGATATAGACAACTAGTTAGATTTTAACCTAAAGCTCATACATTTTTTATTTTCTCTATCATTTTCTATCAATCATTTATCTGTCATCTATCACTTATTTATCATCTAACATTTATCTCTCATCTATCATTTATCCACCTGTCTATCATCTATCATTTGTCCATCCATCCATCCGTCTATCATCTATCTATCATGTATCTATCTACAGGGTCTCACCCTATGGCTCAGGCTGGTCTCAGACTTGCAAAGTTCCTGTTAAAGCCTCTAGAGTGTGGGATGAACTTTTGTTTTAAGCTGAGCCAGCAAAACCTGGCAGTGACTATCTTGCCCATATAAAAGATTCAGGTATTTATGCAAATGTTTAGAGACAGTGTTTATCAGCACACAGTTGGAAACTGTAGTGGCATCTTGCCTTGCCAGTGAACTTTTAGTGGTGGCCACACCCTTTGGGCATGGTTTCAGATGTAGATGTGACCCATTATAAAGTAGAGGGGGGGCTGGCTCGAGATTTCTTGGGTTGTGGAGAGCATCGGAAGGGCAGAGACTGCATCTTGTGGAGCAGGAAGACGGCGGCGGTTATTTACTCTTATCTGTGTAAGTGCTTCCCTAATAAATACCTATTCATTATCTATCTTAGGTCTGGTGGACTCATTTAAACCCCGCCTTTGGGAAACAGCTCAAGCTTCTGAAATTCCTTCAGGAAAAGGATGAAAAAAATTCAAATTAGATTTTTGTTTGTTTTGATTTTGAGACGGTCTCACTGTGTAGTTTTGGCTGTCCTGAAATTCACTATGGAGACCAGGCTGGCCTTCAACTCACAGAGATTCACCTGCCTCTGCTGCCTGGCCTTAACAGAAAATAAAAAGGATATCTGAATGTCAAACGTTAGAATCAGTTATCGATTAAATAATCAAGTATCAAATGGTAGTCGCTGTGGTACCTTTACAGCAAAAGTACAAACTGCATGGAGATTCTCTGTGTGCAGTCTGGAATCAAGGCAACTTTTAGGCAAAATGGAGATAGGCTTGTCCTCCACTTTCACTCAAAATGAGGTCAGAGAAGATGTAATTCCAAAGTGTAAATTCAGAGTTCAAAACACGTCATCGAATTACTAAAACCTGTGCATGTGACCTTATTAAAGTAGTCACGATGCAATAGAAACAGATAATGACAGTTAATAATTGACTCGAAGACTAATTGGAGATGACCTCCAGTAATCTCCACAGCCAAGGTTCATGTACACTAAGGGTTACTTCAGGTCATTTGATTCTTTCACCCCATGTTTCACACTTTGCTATAGCTACAAAGCTGTTTAAATATTCACAACGTATTTTCAAGTTGTCTGGAATATGTTTAAATGAAACATTTGCTTATTTAATTTTAGGACCTCTTAGGGTAAAGGGAGAGTGCTAAGAAAAGTTCCATGGTAGCCAGTAGACAAATGTCTCCAAATAACCCTTCCAACAGCATGACTGCCCGAGTTACAAAGTTCTATAAACCCGCCCAGATATGGTCATGCTTTCAGTTTACAGAGTGTGCTATACAAACGAGTCCTCATCCAAGGACGGGCAGTGTGACATCTCATTTTATCACTGTAAAAGAGGGTCTGACAAAAGTCTGTGTCCAGTACTTGTGTCATGGTGAATTCACCAATGCTCATACTCTTTTGTAAGATTTTGTATCCTGAAATGGGGTTGTCCTGGTACGCCCACTGCTAAGCACTCTCTTCAGACCCAGGGTCTGTCAGATCTGTCCATGTATCTTGGCTTGAATGGCGAGAGTCCTTAACTGGACAGAGTGATTCTCCCAGTACAAGGAAAGAATACTACGTTTGACAACAGAATAGGGAACACACAATTCCAAAGACTCGCACAAATAAGAGTATCATGAAAGCGTCTCTCCAGCATCAGATTCTTTAACATCAAGTAAACTGGAAAATTGGAAAAGGGTTTGCAAGTATTTATATCATCCCTGGGTGGTGGAATGGCAGATTTCTTTTTATATGCATTTATAAGAGCTTTTTTCTACAGAGATATGATGCTTAAATAATTTTACAAGTAAAAAAAAAAAAACAGGAAAAAGTATGAATTTCTTAGTGTACACCATATTTTGGTGAAACTGAGTTTTGGGAAGTACCTGATCCTTCTGAACTCTCATCTCATCAACTTCACTCTCCGCATACTGTGGATCTCGGGCAGGGTCCTGGATTGCCTTCAGTGTGCTGATACTCTGAAATCACAAATCATTTCATGCCTGTCATCCACATTCCAATGGTTGCCATGAGTCTAAGGGACCAAGCTCCATCAGCCTGGCACTGAGAGCTCCTTGCTGTTTCTAGCTTTCATCAGACTCTTGGAAATCCACCTTAAATACACGCCCCCCCCCCCCCCCCCCCCCCCCCCGCCCCCCCCCCCCGTTCCCCCTTCTTCCCCCCCCCCCACTGCTCCCACTTCCTCTCACCCCTCCCTGCCATCCCCCCACCCCCTCCATCAGATGTCTCTCTCTTCTAACAGCCAGAGAGCTTTGTTTGGGAGGGGGACAGGGGCCATGTCTCATTCAGCTTGCAACCTCCACAGTGCTTCGTTTACACCAGTCTCAACAAACATTGCATCGTTTAGGGACACCAGAAACAGAGTTATCACAGTAGAACCTTTGCAGCACTTCCTGTCACAGCTGACTGGTTTTCCAGCAATGAGGAGTACCCACCTTTGGTGGGAATAGCTTTTCATACACCTTTTTCCACAGCTCCATTGGAGAATGGGCCTGAAGCTTTCCAATGTCACTGTCGGGAACAGGAGGGGACCCTAAAATGGAAAGTTTTACCCCAAGTTACTACAGAGATCAAATTATTGTAAACTATTAATAAAGCAGGTGTCACTTACTGAAGTACAGATCTTGGGTCACTCGGTTTCTAGCTCCATGTTACAGACACCATTAAAACTGTGCCTACCGAGGTTGTTGTATTGGCAGAGGCAGTTAAGAAGTAAGGGGTGAGTTATAACCCACTTTCCAGGCCCTGCACTGGAATCTGCCCATTAACAGTGAGTCCAGATCTTGAAGTTTACACTAGAAACATGCATGGACTTGTGTTTAACATTTCATGCAGCTTCACCATTTGTTTTATGCAAAACTGATCACAACACAGAAGTTAATTACTAGTAGATAATGAACTGTCATACGCATAGCTATGTCTTATAACCCTAGGAAACAGTCCAAATATCAACTACAACTGGGCAGTATACACACCGAAAACCCAAGAAAGTACAGAGTCCAAGATAATACAGACTGGCAAAGTTTTCTACATGTGTGTAAATGCAGAGTGCTGGAGAGATGTGAGATAACCCCCCCCCACACACACACACACCAATTAGCGCCCTCTTCCCCTGGCAGTGCTGGATTGTACCAAGGACCTCATCCATGCTAGGCACTCCACCCTTGAGCTATACTCACAGTGCTAGCCCCACCGTTTTAATGAGGAAAATGTATTTAGAACTTGAGTATTTAGATTACTTAGAAAAATTAAAAAACTCAGTCAGTTTCTGGCAATTTTTAATTGATAGCCTGAGATTTTTATTCTTTCTAACATCTTTATTGTCTCCCCCAAACTGTTGATCTTTAAGGGCTTCCTTACCATCTTGGTGAGAAAGTATTGATTTGCTACTTTGTGTGTTTGTGTGTTCGTGTGCATGTGTCTGTATGTGTGTCTGTGTGTGTGTGTGTGTGTGTGTCTAACATTGGTGCTGGCAATTGAACTTGGGTCCTTTGGAACAGTAGCAAGCACCCTTAATTGCTGAGCCATATCTCAGTCCCAGCTCTGTGATTTTTAAATCCAACAATTAGCAAGCCTTTTCTGGCTAACTATTCCCACAAATGGAAAAATTCCATCAGCATTATCTATCGGTTCACTATTCGCACAGACAGACAGAATTCCGTCAGCATACACAGTGATTATCAGGGCTCCTGAATTTAAGCTGGCACTGCTAAAAAAACAGTGCCAATCCTCTCCATGGCCATCCATTAAACACCCCATTCTTTGCTAAGGTCCCTACATTTGAAGCCATGTCACCCTTAGCTCCTAAGAGGAATAGAGGGGACCAGAAGCCTGTTGCCATGTGGAAAAATCAAACCACACCCAAGGGTCTAAGGACATGCTAGGCCCAAAAAGCTTCACAAAGAAAACAGCTTTCTTGGAAAGACAAGGGGCTTGGGAAATAGACTATGGAACCTGTGGGTTTAGAAAATACATCTTGGTAGCAAGGCAAACTATTTGATCTTGCTCTTTCTGAAATTTTAAAAGAGGGTCTTGCTATACAGCCCAATCTGACTGGCCTTGAGTTTAAAGCAATCAGTCTCCAGAGTGTGAGGATTACAGGTGGGACCACCACACCAACTGGAAAACCGTCTTATAATGGAAAATCAAGGCGTATCTAATGGTTCTTGGTTTATCTTATCACTTCAGCCTCATGATTGACAGTGTGCTCTGCAGTCCCCTGAATATCCTATACTCCCGATTTCTTCTGAACCCAGGGAACTAGAAGTTAAAAGCATATTTTTAAAAAGTAGAATAGAGATCACAAATCTGTCTCCCATGCAGTGCTGCACTTTCTACCACAAATATGTCAATGTGTTGCAAGCTACATCAATTCTGGGTATACAAATAAATAAACGTGAAATAACTGCTGGAAAATGAAGTCAGAGATAGTGGGGTGCTGGAGACCAGAGAAACAAGAAGATAAAATCAATAAGCAATTTAAAAAGATTAAGCAATACTAATAAGTCCACCAACCTATTTGACATAAAGAGTCCAATCCTGCTGTGATAAACAGTGGTTTATTCTGATCCACACATATTGATTTGCTGTATGGCAAAAAAAAAAAAAAAAAAAAAAGATTCTAATTTAGTTCGCCAATCAAATATGCTACCACACTCCACTGTAAACACAAGGACTGGTGAGAGCATTGACCCAAATGGACCAGTGAACATTGACTCTGACAGACTCACTCGATGGTAAGTCCAAACCAAGAGAAAGAGCAAGGCAAAGAAGACAGATGCTAAAATTTTCAATTCCACTTAAAATTAACAGAAGAAAATAATGACACAAGGGAAACCAAAGAGATGGAAGGGAGACCAGGGAACAAGGATAATTGGAAAGTATTTAACAGTACCTCTTGTCAATACCGAATGCCAACTGGTTGATAACACCACGAATTTTCAGTAGTAGAGCTTCTGATTTGCTGGTAAACTGAAAGACAAACAGGAGACTCAATTATATTCTGTTTTAAATCTTTGAACAAGCAGAGATGGTGAGAGAATTATAATGTCTTTGCTGAATAAAGAAATCTCGATGAACTTGCCTCATTACCCAGAGTTCATGAGTGCACGAGGTGGAAAGGACTCCTGTGAACACGCCAATCACTGCACCTACTCAAATGGTCAGAATTGGTACGTTTGTGTTTGCCTGACATGTCTCTGCTGTGTGTTGACATGAGCACTCCTGGTTAGACAACTAGAGGAATGTATCAAAAGCACCTGTGGCAGCTTCAGGTGGGGACAGTCACACTGGGGCTCCCTGGGGTGACTTTTTAGATTCTTTTTCGAATTGCCTGCAGAGCCTGAAGATTTTCTGAATACTCTCCCAGGTAGACTGTGAGAGGATCAAACCAGAGCATCTCAGGAAAGCAAAGGACATGGCTTCTGTTGCTAACTATGTTCTGACACTGTGTGGAACCCAGGAGACATGGTTACTCTACCAACCATTTGTCAGGGTTTGCCTTCTAAATACCACAACATTCAAAGGCAAAGGGAACAGCTAAGATGTAGGAAGTGGCAGGGGTGGGGGACCTTAAACTGGGATGAAAAAATCTACTTTAGCAACTCTCTGGTTCCTGTGGCAGATCCACGAGACCACCTTAACTCTGCCATTAAGACCAGGCTCACAGTATTCAATGGGGCACCAGGGGGATGGAGATCAGATAAATTAAAATAATGCTAATGTTTATTATGTGGTATTTAAAAATAGGGAAAATTTTAACTTAAAAAAGTGGCTGTCCTGCTTAATACTACTATGCACTCATATATTTATTACAATATAGTTAATTCATTGTTATTGATTTAAACTATGTAATTTTGTAATATTTTGCATTCTATGGGTGAGGAGAAAACCTAACCACAAGTATGTTTAAAAGGATGTAGGGTGGGAGAACAGTAGAAGTCTCCTCACCCACTCCTCCCGCTGCTGCCTCTCAAACACCCGCCACACACTGCTGTGGACCTTCCTCTTGGATCAGCTCAGTGCTAGGGACTAACACACCCTCACCCAGAGCAACTCATCCCATTTCAGACAAAGATCAAGCTAGAACGTTTCTCTTTATCGATTAGTACTAATATGTTGGTGCTAGGACATTCCTCTCTATTGACGAGTACTATTGTGTGCTAGAACATTCCTCCCCATTGGTTCTTTTAAAATCTGTAAAAAAAAACAAACAAAAAAACAAACAAAACAAAACAAAACAAAACAAAACAAAACAAAACAAAATCATTTTCCAAGCATCATGTCAATCTGACACACAAGCAGATAAAGCTCTGGCTTTAAAGGCAGTGAGAATACATAATGAAATGTATTTAAAATACTCTAAACGCACAAAAACTAAAAATATACAGAATACCCAGTACTTTCAGCCATGTAGCCTCTATGTTTCTCTGAGTGCTTTAATTTAGAGGAAAGGAGACCATTAAATATTTATTCAAATACTAAGGTAGCTTTGTTTTTGTTCTTCAAGACTGGGTCTCATTATATATGGAAAAGGTGGTATTATTTTAAATCCCTTAGTTAATCTTTTTATTTTATTTTATTTTTTTCCCAGTTTTTGAGATAGGGTTTCTCTGTGTAGGCCTGGCTGTCCTGGAACTCACTCTGTAGACCAAGCTGACCTTGAACTCACAGAGATCCACTCCTGAGTGCTGGGATTCAAGGTGTGCACCACCACCACCTGGGCCAAAATTCATGATTTTAACCTCTACAACATCATTTCTTTTACATAAAAAAAAAAAACATATTAAAGTTTTTCCCTTGTTTCTTTTTGAGGAAATACAGATTCTAATTCTTAGGCGGAAAAAGGAAAATGAGTGAATACGTCGTCATCCATCTGTCTCTGTAAGCTTGCCTGCACTTACAGATACAAGCAATGTAGGGAGAAGAGGCCACAAGCAGACTATGTTCTGTGGACACCTAACAGCCTCCTGCAGGAGCAGGGCTTTGGCAGTGCAGTGGGAAAGGAAAGGGGACAAGAGGTGACATTAGGTGCATTCATCATTCACATTTGCAAACCCAGCTCCTCCTTTCTTCCTCTTCCCTCCGTTCCAGGCCCAGAGGACAGGAAAAGGACTGACCATCAGTGAGGCTCCGTAATAATGCGCAACAAACCGCAGCGTCTTGCATATCACCTTTCTCTTCTCGGGATCAAAATCCTGTAGGGAAAAAAAAATCATTAAAAGGAAAAACTAAGCTGAGAGATCTCAACAGCGCTCTCAGGGAGAAACACATTATTTATTTTCAAAGCCCCCACCCTGAGGAGTTGGGCTCGGGCACCTCCGTGTTCATGTCCATAGAGACTGAACAAGGCTGCAGCCTCCCACCGCCACAGCTATCAGATCTGGTGAAACACTCGGCTTAAGAGAATCCAGATACCGACACACATTTTATCCTGCGGAATACCCGAAGGATTCTCTGACAAGCCGAGATAAGAAGAACTAATTTCCTACTTTCTTCAATTTAAAGTTGGGAAGTAAATCTTATCCCTCAGAGAACGGAATGTGTTTTCTACGTCTTCTGCCTCATCCCTGTTCTAACCACTGTACTCACTTCCTTTACTACTTTGGGATGTGTTACTGTATCTTCCTTTCTAAAATCTTTAAGATGGGTGTCTCTGAGCCCATCCCTTCTGGAGTTATTGTTCTTATTTCATCACTTTTACTCCTCCTCACAAAGCAGAGACACACATGCCCAATGGACAGCTAGAAATGGGAGTGCTTACCTGAAAAATGTCATATTTACTTCCAATTATGACCAGGGGGATTGGAAACGGGTCGATTAACTCACGATCCTGTTAATAAATACACTTTGTGATTATAGTTATTTATTGCTATGCCCTCAGGAATTTATATTTACTTAGGAAAAACACCATTTTCGGTCTCTTCATAGATGCTGGTCATATTTGCTGTCAGAGCTTGTTCTGATATTAACTTTCACTTCATGCTGTATTATAAGTGTAAAGCCAGAAACAGCAATTCCCTAAACACCATGGTGCCATTTGTTTCCTTGTCCTGCTGTTCTATTTTCTTTTTCTTTGTTTTTCCCCACCTCCCCCCAAAGACAGGGTTTCTCTGTGTAGCCCTGGCTGTCCTGGAACTCTTTCTGTAGACCAGGGTGGCCTCGAACTCACAGAGATCTGCCTGCCTCTGCCTTCTGAGTGCTGGGATCAAAGGCGTGCGCCACCACCACCCACTCCTGTTCCGTTTCCTTTCACCACACATCATCTGAATAGACTTATGCTAGCTGTTTGCTGTTTGGCTTTGTTTTGATCCGACACTATGTAAGACACCTGTACACAATGGATACCTGGAGATGTTTCCCTTAAGTTTTCTAGATGATGATATTCCAGAATGCATTTAAATAACTTGTGTTGCATCACAGCAACTTTATAATTTAAATAGTTTTTAGATGATGGAAGAGCATTGTGGCATGTGACAGACAGAGTGCAGGGAAGGCAGCTGGAACTCTGCTCCAGCCAGTCTTTGCCAGTTCAATCTGCATTCTCGTCTTCAATTTACAGAGATTATAAAATCAATATCAAAATCACTTTAAAACTCCATTTCTTCTGAGTGGTATGATACACTACAATAATCACAGTGGATGTCTAACAAGGAGACACAGCCATCTTTCCCTTGTTGTGCTCTCACGGGGGGTTTGATGAAATTGCTATAATTTTCCAGTGAGCAGGTTCATCTGCATCAAACGTTTTCTAAGTCATGCAGAAAACTAAAGAAGCTTCGTTGGATGCTGTCTCTACTCTGTGTGGGGCTGATGCCAGAGGAAACCAATAGCAACTCACCGGATGGTCCTTCTGCATGACACTCCACATCTTCTGCCTCATCTCAGAGGCCGCTTTGGAATTTGTCTTCCCCAGCTTCATTATCACTTTGTCTATGTGGCTTTTTGTCGCTTGCAACAGATTTTCCATGGTGGGCCAAAGATCATTAGGTTTGGAAAGATCCAAAACAAGAACAACAGAAAATGTCCTAAAGAGATGACAACAGCTTTAAACAAAGGATTCCCAATAATCACTGTTTTGAGATGGGAATGTACTGGAATCTGCCTCAGGTAGTTTATGGAAGTCCCAGCATACACTTACTCTAAGATGGGAGTGTGGGCAAGAACTCAGAGATGCAGCCTTGGGTACTGGGATGTTCTTCCCCACTGGACCTCAGCAGCACAACAACAACAAAAAAACAACCCAGTTCAGACAGAGAAGCTGAAAGCAAAGGAGTCCAACAATGCCATGTTTGGACCTAATTTCACCTTGTGCTCCAAAAAGAGGAGCAAAAATTTCAATGCCCATGACAGCAGCAACACAATATAAACAGAAGGAAATGGACATACTGACAAGCCTTGCTGGGAAGCCAGCGGGTTGACTCAGCTTTCATGAGAGTCCTCCCTAGAAGATGTGATGACACCCATTTTATGGATCTGAAATCAGGAGTGCATATTCACACAGCTAATAAACTGAAGAACTGCCTTTAAGGCAAAGCTCTACTCCAACTATACTCCTCTGTAAGCGCTGCCTTGACAGGCAGAGGACACTGCCATCACCACAGGCAGTGGACTCCATTCCTACACATTAAATATAAATCTAAACTCAACAACAACAAAATTATCCACTTAAACATGGATTCAAAAGCTGGGCAGTGGTGGCGCACGCCTTTAATCCCAGTCCTTGGGAGGCAGAGGCAGGCGCATCTCTGTGAGTTCGAGATCAGCCTGGTCTACAAGAGTGAATTCCAGGACAGCCTCCAAAGCCACAGAGAAAGCCTGTCTCGAAAAACAAAACAAAAACAACAAACAAACAAAACCAACCAACCAAACAAACAAAAAACATGGATTCAAATAACCCCAAAGAGATATGCTGTTGACCAAGAAGCACACACAAAGATGCTTAGGGACTGGAAAGATGGTTCAGAAGTTAAAAGCACTGGCTGTTTGCCCAGAAAATGAAGGCTCAATTCCCAGCACCCACAGGATGACAGAGAACCATCTGTGACTCTAGTTCCAGGCAGGTCTGACGCCCCTGCTGGCCTCTGTAGGCACTGCACGTATGTGGTACACAATACACATACATGCAGGCAAGACACTCCCACACATAACATTTTTAAAAATTAAAAAAATGTTCAACATCACCAGTTATGGGGAAAGTGTAAAACAAACCCACAATGAGAGTGTAATCTCACACCTACTAGGGTAGCTGTTCCCAAAGAAAAGAAGATAGAATGTGCTCCTGAAAATATAGAAATACTAGAACTCTACAACACTGGTAAGAAAATAAAATGGTGTAACAGCTGTGGAAAACAGCGTGGCAGTTCCTGAAACAATAAAAAAGAATTACCACATTGATTCAGTGATCCTATTTCCACGTCTGTGCTCCAAATTCTGAAGAAATTAAATTTCTTTGTTGTCGTTGTTTGTTTTTTTTGAGACAGGGACTCATCTTGTAGCCCTGGATGTCCTGGAACTTATTATATAGCCAAGGATGGCCTTGAAAACACTGTGATCTGCTTGCCTTGGCCCCAGACTGCTGGGACTACAGGCATGAGTCACTATGCCCAGGAGAAAGCTATGGCAGAATAAGTGTGTGGCTATCAATGTTCATGGCCACAGCATTCACAGTAGTCCAAGGGATGAACAACTCAAATGTCCAAGGATGAGATAATGGAAGAACAAATTGTAGGATATACATGGAGTATTGCTCAATTTTACAAAGGAAGGAAGTTCGACACATGCCACAGTATGAACCTTGAAGACATTATGATAAGTTAAATAAACTACAAAAAGACAAATACTATATGGCCTCATTATATAAGGTACCATTGAGTCAGATGGCTAAAAGCCTGCAGGAACGTCACTTCAGAAAGACAGGAAAGTCCTAGTAATGAACTAGGTGGTGGTGTTGGCTCTACAACAGTGGAAATGAACTTAATGCCATAGTATAACTCATTTATAAATAACGTCAGTGGTAAATTTTATGTTATATATATTTTACCAACTGAAAGATATATATAAACCCAGGAATGCTTTAGAAAATGGTCATAATTTGTACACAGACATTTAATCATGGACAACATATTCTTTTCAAGACAGGTTTCTCTGTGGCTTTGGAGGCTGTCCTGGAACTAGCTCTTGTAGACCGTGCTGGTCTCGAACTCACTGAGATCTGCCTGCCTCTGCCTCCCAAGTGCTGGGATTAAAAGTGTGTGCTACCACCAACGCCTGGCAACTTAAAAATTCTTAAAGTGGGGCCAGATCATAGGGAATGTTCTATTGCAAATTGCAGAAAGTCTGTGGAAGCACTCAGTTCTATGAACATTGAAAGGTAAACAATATCTTTTTTGTTCTTTTTTTAAATATTTATTTATTATATATACAGTGTTCTGCCTGCATATATGCATGCACACCAGAAGAGGGCACCAGATCTCATTACAGATAGTTGTTTACCACCATGTGGTTGCTGGGAATTGAACTCGGGACCTCTGGAAGAGCAGTCAGTGCTCTCAACCTCTGGGCCATCTCTCCAGCCCCCGGTGAACAATATCTAATGGCGTGTGGCAATGCAGCAGTTTCTCAATTTGCTGGGTTTTGCCCAATACAAGGGAATTATGTGTAAACTAATTCCAGGTTAAAAATTCTCTGTGATTAGCAACTATGTGAAGTGAATTCCTCTCTAACCCCAATCTTTGGCCTCTCAGCAGTCAACTTTGGATCCAGACCTTGGCCTAAGATGCTCCTTCCTATTTATTACAACTGGGATCCTTCCCCTCTCCCAAAGCTGGCTCCAGCTGTCCTAGAGCCCAGGGACAGGAAGTCTCAGACCTCAACAATGAGATATTAGAGAAGCACATTAAGATTTCCCTTCCTGCAGAACCCTGATTCAGAGCCTGTTTGACCCAAACAGTCTCAGAGTAGATGAAGAGGAGTGAGGTCGCTTACAAGTCAGGGGTCAGGGTTGGAACTACTAGGTTCTTGCTAAACAGACATTGCTGGACTAGGTGGACCACATCGTATCCAGGACTCTGAAGGCAGAGTCGGGTAGACCTCTGTGAGTTTGAAACTACCTAGGGCTGCATTGCCAGACCCTGAAACAAAATAAAAGAGAATAAACTATATTTTGGAAAGAAGACACCCATCCCTAAGGCTCTTCATGCCTGAAATGTAACAAAGGATTGACAGTCTGGACCATGAATTTGGCTCAGCAACGGCAATGGTTTGGGTCAATCTCTGACAAGAAAGAAACTTCAGATTTAATTTTTTTTTTTTGGCTAGGATCTTCTGTGGAATAATCTTTTGTACACTGTAAAGATGTGTTGCTCTCATTGGTTTAATATAAGAGCTGACTGACCAATAACTAGAAATAAAGAGGTTTGGAAGGAGAGCCAGACTAAGAGAGCACTAGGAGAAGAAGGAGTAGAGGAGAGGAAATGGAGGGGCAGAAATATTGAGTTGGGGGAAGAATAGAAGAGAGAGAGCAGGATGAGAGATACCATATCAGAGGGAACTACTATAGGTCCGAGAAGAGATCTG